ACAAAAATAAAATAAAGTGTAAATATTTGGGATGTAGCAGTTGGGTGCCGTCATTTGCAACAAGAACTAACAAGAAATAAAACTTACACAAATATTACGCAAATACAAAGCTGGTTTTATCTAACTACTGGGTACCCTAAGGAGAAGCTTAGGAACAAACTAAAAAATATGCTTATTTCAAAAGGCCATCTGAACATTATCATGATTTTGAAGGCATTATGATGTTTCTTAATGCCAAACTATCTATGAATAAAATCTCCCATGTCTTTAAAAGAGTTGGGCTGCATTCAGACAGCACTTAATTCCCTCTGATGTTTCCTTCCCTGATAGTTTCCACATTTTATGTGATCTTTCACATGATGTATAAACAACTTGGAATCTAGTGGATGTTTAGCATGTTGTTTGCATGTTAATTGTTTCCAGAGACAAAGAAAAATAAGTTAGCAACCTCATTGTTAACTCAGAAAATTACAGGAAAGTTGCACTGTAATTTCCTGAGGTGAAATTTGGGGCTGTATCCTAGCATTTAAAATTTAGCACGACATGGAGGTATATCCACTAAAGGCCGCAATTCCATAATGCAACAGGTACCGCAGTTTAAAAGGAACACTAGAAACTAGTTCAGAAGCACTAGCATTGTAACCAGGAGAACCAACCCAGTAATCCCCACATCTGACTATAGCCTTGATAGCGGCCTAGTAGCCCATGTTCTGAGGGCACGTGATGGTTCCAAATTAAAGTTTACCTGGCTAGTACGATGGTCATATATGCAAAAGAGGACAAGGCTGTGCACCTCTAATAGTTGGTTAGAAAAGGGAAAATTCGGCAGGTGTAGCTACACCTGCTTAAATTCCCTCTCCTACACAACTATTAAAAGCGCGGGAGTCCTGTCCTGCCTGCTGATGTTAATGGCGAGGAGGAGAGCTTACATGGTGAGAGACACATCATAAGACAAGTGTGCTGGGTCATGCCAAAGGCCAGTCATCTAGTCTCACAGTGGCCAGCCAGATGTCAGCCCAAAGACAGGACCTGAGTGCAATAGCACACTCCCTTCCTGTGGCTTCCAGAAACTGGGATTCCGACAGGACTGCCTCCACCATAGAGGCTGGAACGTAGCAATGTGAACATAGCCACTGAGTGCAGGTAGAACATAGACATGTTCCCAGGGCTACCGGGTCTTCTTCTTCTTCTTCTTCTTCTTCTTCTTCTTCTTCTTCTTCTTCTTCTTCTTCTTCTTCTCCTTCTTCTCCTCCTCCTCCTCCTCCTCCTTCTTCTTCTTCTTCAAAAAATCTCTTTATTGCCTAAAGATTGAATTTTTACATAACATGCAGGTACAATGAGAAAAAGAAACCCCGTCGCCCCATAATGGATCTGGCAACAATGCCAGCAAAATACATTCTTCCGCAAGTGAACATGTGCATTTGGCAGGTTCCTGATGTCTTGGTTGCAGTTAGAAAAGGTTATGAATGGATGCCTGGTCTTTGTCTTAAGATGGTGCTTGTTCCTTTAAGTGTACCGAGCCTATATCCATGCTGCTTTTTTTTTTTCCTCCATTGATCCTCCACTCCTCTTGTCTGTCCTGGGAGAGATCATCAGGGGGTTTGGGCTGGGTGTACATGAGTATGCGGATGATGCTAGCTCTACCTCTCTTTCCTGAATGGTGTAACTGTGCCCCTGAAGGACCAGGTGTGCAGCCTGGGAGTCATTTTGGACTCACAGCTGTCCATGGAGGTGCAGGTCAATTCTGTCTCCAGGGCAGCTGTTTACCAGCTCCATCTGGTACGCAGACTGAGACCCTATCTGCTCGCAGACTGTCTTGCCAGAGTGGTGCATGCTCTAGTTATTTCTCACTTGGACTACTGCAATGCGCTCTATGTGGGGCTATCTTTGAAGGTGACCTGGAAACTACAACTAATCCAGCAGTTAGACTGGTGACTGGGAGCAGCCGCCGAGACCACATAACACCAGTCTTGAAAGACCTACATTGGCTCCCAGTACATTTCCGGGCACAATTCAAAGTGTTGGTGCTGACCTTTAAAGCCCTAAAAGGCCTCGGTCCAGTATACCTGAAGGAGTGTCTCCACCCCCATCATTCTGCCCAGACACTGAGGTCCAGCGCTGAGGGCCTTCTGGCGGTTCCCTCGCCATGAGAAGCCAAGTTACAGGGAACCAGGCAGAGGGCCTACTCGGTAGTGGCACCCGCCCTATGGAATGCCCTCCACCCAGATGTCAAAGAGCATCTACCAGACTTTTAGAAGACATCTGGAGGCAGCCCTGTTTAGGGAAGCTTTTAATGTTTGATGGTCTATTGTATTTTAATATTTTGTTGGAAGCTGCCCAGAGTGGCTGGGGAAACCCAGCCAGATGGGCAGGGTATAAATAAATTATTATTATTATTATTATTATTATTATTATTATTATTATTATTCCTCTCTTGCTGTGACCACCAGAAGCACAGGCACCAAGTGTGGGTAGCCATGGTGGCCAACCCCCCTAGTTTTCAATTAGAGGGTCAGGGGCCCCCCAAACCTCTTTGCCAGCCATGCGCTCATGCTGAGGGGCGTCCACACACACACCAGCATGTAGCATGCACATGCACATGCAACATCAGCACGCTGCAGTGTATGCCAACGTAATGCGCAAATGCCTTAATGATATCGCACAGCCCTGGACCCCCTCAATCACAGAGGTAAGGTGGTGCATATGAGCAGAAGTCTAAGTCCCTGTCCCCACCACAGCAGGTGTGGGAGGGGTCTGGCAGTGCTTCTGGAGGATATTAAAGGGTTTGTGAGTATGTGTAGAGTAGAGCATCTGCCTTGCAAGTAGACGGTCCAAGATTTAATCTCCAGCATTTCCAGGTAGGGTTGGGAAAGCCTCCCTGCCTGAATCCCTGGGGAGCCTCTGCCAGCCTGTGTAGACATTTTTGGGCTGAATGGACCAAACGGTCTGACTCAGTACAAGGTAGATTTCAGCAATGTTCAGTAGTGCATGTTACAAGCAGGCAAGAGAGCCCCTTTCCTCAACTCTGAACGGCTGGAAGGTATGCAATCAATTCAGAATTGTCGGAAGGAGGAAGAGTGGGTGGATGCATAGCAGGTGCCAAAACCGAACTTTGGACGGTGACTTGGCTTCTGTGCATCATGCCAATCAGCTGTACATTTCTTTGCACATCGGTGTCTTTGGCACCATTTGAAAGCAAGCTGCAATAAAACAGGGTTGATTCCCAGCCAAAACTGCCACTCTCCCTCCAGCCTACAGTTAGAGACAGAAGACGGTGCTTAAAGAAAACAAACGTTTAAAGTCTGAGAAAATGTAATATAATTTCTCCATGCTTATATACTAGAGGAAACCTCATTTAAAAATAATAATAACAGATTTGCCACAGGTTGTTTGGACTTCTTTGGTCAAGCATATATCTGCAGAGGTTGCACTTAATGGATGATTAAACTGTCTATGCATCCCATTAATTATATACTGAAAATACTAAAACAGCTTTCTCGGCTGTTCAGTTCTGTTCTTCTGAGAGCATTAGGGGAGACAGTTTTTGTACGCACTCTAAGGAAGCAAGTTCCTCCCTTAACAAGGATCCTAAGATGAGCTTTATTCATTGACAATGCATTGTGTCTAAACAGATGTAAGCACCATTTAGCTCAATGGGACTTAATCCCAAGGACCTGTTTTTAGGATCACAGCATTAGGGTACAATCCTATGCATGGGGAAGGACCACAGCTCAGTGGTGAGGTTCTTGTTATGCATGCAGAGGGTCCCAGGTTCAATCCTCAATATCTCCATGTAGGGCTGAGAACATCTCCTTTTTGCTAATCAACATGGACAATAAGAAGCTAGATAGACCAATGACTTGGCACAGGCATCTCCTTGTGTTCCTATGGAAATCCCAAGTAATCATGTTTAAGACTGCACTGCATGTCTGCAGGGATGAGGACAAGGATTTTGAAGAGAGCAACATTTTGATCACTCCCTGTATTTCCAAAGTAGTGTTTTGTGAACATTCTTATGGCCTGTAGGCACATGAGACCACCACCTTACTGAAGCTAGGTAGGTCTGATCTGTGTATGTGGGCCACTTTGGGTTCCATAGTGGAAGAAAAATGGAAATGCATTTGGGAATGCTCTACCACTGTGTATATCTGATATATATATATATATATAGAGAGAGAGAGAGAGAGAGAGAGAGAATTATATTTACTTTAAATAAACAAAGTAAATAAATACTTTAAATAAATAAAAATCTCAGTATTGTCTACACTAACTGACAGCAGCTCTCCAGAATTTCAGTCAGGAGACTTTACCTGGAGATGCCAGGGTTGTATCTGAGACCTTCTTCATGCAAGGCAGATGCTCTGCTACTGAGCTACGGTGTTCCACTTTGAAGGTACATTCCCCTGAGCTCATCCACTAATGGACATCACCAGAGATATAGAACCCTTGTCCTCTGATTCAAACTCAAGCGTGTCCCTCTCCTCAAGCAAGCAACATTGATTTTTTTAGCTGGATTTAAACAGATAAGCCAACAAACCTGAACTTGCACTGTGTGTGTGTGTGTGTGTGTGTGTGTGTGTGTGTCTGCCTTGCTGGAAAAGGATAGTAAACTGAGCACGAGTAAACTGTATGTGGTGTGAACTGACAGTAAAGAATTCAGAGATCAAAGCCGCAGACATGTGTTGCTTGCTATTCAGTGTTCAGCTGCACTGAACAGAAACGGAGATTGCGTGCCATATGCAACCTGGCTTCTTGTATTTGCTATTCTCTCTGGTTCGGAACAATGTTCCCCGGGCCAACGGCAAATGCTGCATATATTAGACAGGGCTTGCATAAATGCCCAATTGTTCTGGATATGTAGGCTGAAGAAATATGGATGGAATTAGGATTGTGGCTCAGAGAGCAACATGATGCAAGTGGCAAACAGGCTACTTTTACAATCTTCTACTGGGCATTCAACAAGCGAGGAACTGACCGAATTGTGCTCCCTTTTTATACAGGACGTAATAGATGAGTGCAATCAAAACTCTCTGCAGACGGATTCAGCAGGTGTCAATTGCTTGGCTGCTGAGGATCTTGCTCAAGGAGACGTAAAGCCGGAGAACGTTAAGACAGCAGCAGCTGGGACAGACTATAACAACTCTGACTCTGTCATCATGAGTTTCTTTAAAACCTTGGTAAGATTTTTGCCATCACTTTATCTGAATGGAATTGGTGTATGTATGAATTGTTGTGAGATAAAATTGCTGCCCCGCGGTTACAGAGAGAAATTTAGGAGGGAAGAGGTGCTTTGCATCACATGGGCAGCACAAACTAACACAGTCAAAGCTCCAAAGGTTCAGTTCAATGTGAAATGATTGCAAACAATGTATGTAAGGCAGGGGATTCAATTTAGTGTTCATTTAAAGGGAAATTTATTTCATTTGCACATTGGGAAACACTACATGAATCAAACTGTCCTTTGACAGTTGCACTTCTCTGAATTTTGCAAGGCAGTTCTTCCTCCAAGCAATGTGTACAAAAATGCATACGGCAGTGAAAATACAAAAAATGCTTTGCAGACATGGGTATATTGGGCACAATTGCATGCAAAAAGTGCAAATGGAGGGGAGGGGGGTCACAAAACACAAACAAAACTGCAAACTGAGGTAGAAACGTGGAGAACTGAACTTAAGACTAGAAAAACAAGAAAGTGAGAAAAACCAGAAAAAACTAGAAAAACAAGAAAGTGAGAAAAACCAAAACTGATATATTCAATAGAATGAGTATCAGGTGTTGTTGACCGAGGCAGAAAGCAATTTATTTGTCATGTAGCTAGATGCAAAAAATGATGGTAATTCAGCACTTTTAATAGATGTATAGGAGAGGGCATTTCTGTGGGTGTAGCTTATTATGCAAGCTACACCTGTTGAAACTCCTACTTCTACATACCCAAGAAGCAGGAGCCCTGCCCTCTTTTGCATTTAGCTACTCTACCTGAATTTTGAAATGTCATTTAACTAGAAAAAATATATCTTAAGTGTGTATGGGGATGTTTTATTCATTAGCTGTGAAGGTCAGATTAAAACCATTTGTTATTTTCTACTCAAGCATTTCCATCTAGGCACAACTAAAAGCTTATCTACACTTCCCTTTGCCCCACTGCTTTCCCCCGAGAAAATCCATGCTCTTTAGCACTGAAAACCTGCTCTTTAGCACTGATTCAGAACAAATGGCAATTGGATTTTCTGCAGATTGCCATTTGTTCTGATTTAGTGCTAAAGAGCAGGTTTTCCAGGGGAAAGCAGTAGAGCAAAGGCAAAACCACTCTGAACAGTGTCTAGAAAGCATGGTACAGATGGAAAACCACTTGGACCTGTGCTTTCAAGGCACGGGAAAAGTGAAAGTGTGGGCGACGCCTTGGAGAATTGTTCTGCTGTTGTGGAAGGAGAAGGAAAGCTACATTAACAGAGGAATCACAGGCATCTTTATTCGGAGAGAAGGTCCACTGAGCTCAATGGAACTTGTTTCCATTTATGGAGGACTAGGGGACTTGTTTAGGAATAAAAATGCATAGGGTTGCGAAATAAATCTAATAAAATATCTCTGCAATATGACGGGAAATGTTACCAAGGAACTTAAACTTTTCTAACATGCACTTTGTCTTTGTCTGCTGTTTAAGTATTAGTCAATTTACCGTATTTTTCGCCCTATAGGACGCACCGTCCCATAAGGCGCACCTAGTTTTTTTGGGGGGAAATAAAGGGGAAAAAATTATTTTTCCCCCAGGCGTGGGGCTGGGGCGGGGGAAGCTCGAGCTTCCCCCGACCCCAGCCCCCAAACAGGCAGCTCTCTGCAAGCCGTGGGAGCTCTCCCGCTGCTTGCTGAGAGGTCCGCGAAGCCTGGACGTGCTGAGCTGAGCGCGCGCAGGCTTCAGCAAGCAGGCAAGTCTCCGCAAGCAGCGGGAGCCCAGCGCTGGGCTCCCGCTGCTTGCGGAGAGGTGTGCAAAGCCTGGAGAGTGTGAGGGGTCGGTGCGCACCAACCCCTCTCGCACTCCAGGCTTCAGCAAAAGCCTGCATTCGCCCCATAGGACGCACACACATTTCCCCTTCATTTTTGGAGGGGAAAAAGTGTGTCCTATAGGGCGAAAAATACGGTAGTTGGATTTGCCACAAAAATATTGTGTTCAAAGTAGCGCACTGGTTCATCATGGGATGGCCAGATGTAAAAGCAGGTAGGGTTCTTAACACACTAAGAAGGTGGCCTGGCTATTCCAACAATTGAATCCTTGCTGGATCCAAAAATTAGACGGGACTTGGGCATACGGCCTAACCCCGTCCCTTCAAAACTCACAACAGTATGTTTATTTAGACATAAGTCCCATTGAGTTCTGTGGGGCTTACTCCAAGGTCAGCAAGCAAAGGATTGCTATCAGACTTGGTCTAGGAAATCACTATTGCCTGTGATTGCTTAACTGCTGGTGAAACAAGCTTTGCAATCTTTTTTTTTTTAAGCTAAATATACATGGCTAGAGGCAATGGAAAACTTGAAATATTGTGTACAGTTATGGCCACTACAGCACTAAAAGAAGACCATCAAGCTAGAAAAGGACAACCAAAATGACCAAGGGGCTGGAGCAGCTGCAAGGGTAAAACATTTGGAGCTATGCAGTTTTAGCAGGCAAAATGTGGTTAAGAGGGGACCTGATAGAGGTGTGTAACATTACACAAGGTGTGGCGAGAGTGGACAGAGAAGTTTTTTTCCCTTTCTCACAATACTAGAATTTGGGGGCCAATCATTGAAGCTGAATGGTGATGGGAGAATCAGAGCAGGCGAGAGAGAACACAACACATAGTTAAGACTATGGAATCGGATGTAGTGACAACTGCCAATTTGGATGGCTTTAAAAAGGGATTAGACAAATTCAGGGAGAATAAGGCTATCAGTGGCTACTAGACAATCCATTGCCTCTAGTAACAGGGGCAGCATGCCTCTAAATCCTAGTTGCTGGAGAGAGTTCTGTTGCACTCCTGCTTTGCCTTGCTTGCAGGCTTGCAGAACCATCAGATTGGCTGCCGAGGGAACACTGAGCCAGACTAGCAGGCAGGCTTTGGCCTGACCCAACAGAGCACTTCTTATGTTCTTGCATTCTTGGAACAGTATAATGGGAAAGAAGAGGGGGCACACCACAAGCCATGATGGCTCTATCGTTTACAGCTGGGATTCTGTAACTGGGATTGCTGCACTGCAGAGAGCTGAGATACAAAACCCTTTGGGTCCCTTCCAAGTTTACAATCCTATGTGTCAGGTGCTGGTGTGGTTGCTCGAGAGCAAACAGGCAAGACTCTGTCTTTTCCAGGCAACCTGTCTTTTCCAGGCTTTATTCTTAGTGCAAACTATTTACAGTGAAGAGCACCGTAAGTTCATGTCTGGCTCAATCGCTAGCAGAATCTGGGAGTGGTCGGTCCTTGTACCTCCCCCAGCATAACAGTCGTGTGACCCCCAACCTTCTCCTCCCCTCCCTGCACCGAAGGGAGATTCACAAGATTTTCGGAGGTTCCCTATAGCACAACTGCCCTTCCACCTCACGCCTCTGAGCTGATGGCAGTTCCCTGACGCTATGGTTCCATCTTACCCCTTTCAGCTTTCTATGGGGGGAGAGTGCTCTACAATCTTGTCTTCATGCTGACAGATGCCCATTTAATTTGCCTTTGAAGAATACTTCATAATCTCCCAAGGTAGCTTGTTCTAGCTTTGAATTACTTTTACAATTAGGCTGCTCTTTCCAGTGCTTAACACAAGTCTGTCTCTGCATTTGAACACCATTGGCCTTTGTCCAATCCTCCTCCATAGAATTGGAAGGAACCACCAGGGTCATATAGCCCAACCGCCAGCAATGCAGGAATCTTTCTCCTAGCATGAGGCTCAATCTCATGACCCTGAGATTAGGAATCTCATGTGCTGAGCTATCCCAATTTAAAATTTGCACACTTTATGTTTCTCTTCCAGCTAAAGTCTTGTTCAATTCATATCAAGAGTTTAGTCTGGTTTTGAATATTGCACATTTCAAGGATTGTTTTCTTTTCTTGAATTGAAAGGTATCTCCAAGCAAAGCAGATTCCAAGGGTGACACTGAGGACAAGGTGAGTGATTGGATCCTGGCAATATAAGTTCAATATAGACCCCTCCTCCCTTTTCTTGGGATATTTTTCTAAACTGGCTTGATGTGGGACTGGTTCACACATGCATGCAAAACCCAACCTACATTGCAAATAATTGCGTTTGATTTGATGTCAGGCAATATTAAAGACCTGTGTTATTGGTTACTGCAATTTATTTATCTGACTTATTGCTTTCCATGCCACCTTTATTTCAAGGTACTCTGGGTAGCATACCAAATCACTGCTGTGTTTTATCTCTACAACAACCTTGTCATGCAGCTCACACTGAGATACAGTGACTAGCCCAAGGTTAACCAGATTCCTAGCTGAGTGGGGTTGCTACATTTTAAGGACTATACCTAGGCAGAGGGTATTTAGGTGCATGCCAATAATGTAAATTGGCAAAAATATGTTTGAGAGTACCTGTTTCATATAGGTGCATGCGTGAGAAAACTAAGCTGTGCTGCAACTCCCTGTTGCAGAGGGGTGTGTGTCTGGGGCGTTGCTTTTTTCTGTTCAATGTATGAAATGGCCCTTAGAACTACTGTATTTTTCGCTCTATAAGATGCATCAGACCACAAGATGCACCTAGTTTTTGGAGGAGGAAAACAAGGAAAAAAATATTCTGAATCTCAGAAGCCAGAACAGCAAGAGGGATCGCTGTGCAGTGAAATCAGCAATCCCTCTTGCTGTTCTGGCTTCTGGGATAGCTGCGCAGCCTGCATTTGCTCCATAAGATGCACACACATTTCCCCTTACCTTTTAGGAGGGAAAAAGTGAGTCTTATAGAGCAAAAAATACGGTAGTTTGTTGTTCGCCTGTTTCAGCACTTCTCTTACCAAGCTGGAGCCCCAGCCTATTAAGAACCCAGACTTTGATATTAAATATTTCTTTGGCAATTTGACACATTTGTGCAATTGGTTTTGAAAGCGTTCATTGACGGCAGAAAACTAAATTCTGCATATAATGGTGCATTTCTGCAATATATCAATTTACCTTTTTATGTATAATGTTGTGCCTGAGCACATGGTTAATAACTGGGAGGTCTTTACCACTAGGTGGCACCAACTTTATTAGGAAGCTGCCTGTTCTTGGCCCCTAGATCATTTTCTGGAGAGTATAGTGGCCCACAAGACATCTGTCTTCTAGACTTCCTAAGCAGGAAGTTAAACAGACTAAAGAAAAATCAGAAAGCTCCCTATAGCATATGACTATCCTTGGCAGAAGGACCAGTTTGCATAAGCAGCAGGAGACTCCCAATTATAGTATATTGCTTCCGAGCAGCCATTCTTGAGGAGCATCATGATACCGGTGGCAAGTTCTCAGTTGTTTTGGGGTTGCAGAACTTGGGACATTATGTAGGAAAAGGAAGCATCTTTGTGTGTCTGCCACCTTCTTGGCCCTGCATGATGAGAAGCAGTGGCTCAGGAGCATAGCTGTCAACGTTTCCCTTTTTTTTAAGGGAAATTCCCTTATTACGAATAGGTTTCCTCACAAAAAAAGGGAAACATTGACAGCTATGCTCAGGAGTGCAGCACACATCATTCAAAACACGTATTCTAAGTTGCGTTCATCCAGGACTGCTGCAAAGCTCAGCATGTACCTTTTATGCCTTTGCCAAATGTTCTGCGACACCCCAAAGATGTAGGTGTTTCTCAGCAGATGAATCAATATTTGAAAGGGTTCCATGAAGGCTGAAGGTTTGACTAGTGCACAGAATGGTGTGCTTATGCAGTACTGCACATAATAGTGATTTTTCTCCTGCTGTATGATTTACCTTAACACAAGGGTAGGGGACATTTTTAATCCTAAAGGCCACATTCCTTCATGGGCAGCCTTCTGGGAAACACATGACACTTGTATGTGGGGCCCAATGTAATGAAATTTTAGAAAGTAGGCCGATAGATGTAACTCTTGACCTTATTCAGTGGGCTGCATTCCAGCCACACCAAAGCCAGACGTTTCTTCAGAAATTCATCTCTCTCTCTGTTTTCCACCCAGGCAAACAAGAAACACTATCACAGTTCAAGGACACATTCCAGTCAGGCAAAAGCGCTCAAGAGCAGGGCTGCTAAGGGGGGTGACAGGGAGGGGGCTGTATTAGAGGCTCACCAGCCCAGCCTCAAGAATGTTTTGGGGGAGAGACAGTGAGATAGTTCTTAAATAAGTGAAACGCAGAGTCCTCTTCACTGGAAAGATGTGTAGATATGGGTACTATTTTATGACATTCTAGTGCATATAATTCTTCTCATGCATAGGCACATTTACAAGTGTCACAAAAGATTTGTTCTGCACTTGTAAGCAATTGATTTTTGAGTGTGCAGAACCTATTTTCTTGAACTCCCTGCCTGTTAATATTTGGCTAGGTTGTACTCAACACTGCTAAAAAGCTTTTTTCATTAGTGTGAGCTCCCATTGCTCGGTCCCTGATCCTGCCAACCTAGCAGTTCGACAGCACATCAAAGTGCAAGTAGATAAATAGGTACCGCTCCAGCGGGAAGGTAAACAGCGTTTCCGTGCGTTGCTCTGGTTCACCAGAAGTGGCTTATTTATGCTGGCCACATGACCCGAAAGCTGTACGCCGGCTCCCTAGGCCAATAAAGTGAGATGAGCGCTGCAACCCCAGAGTTGGCCACAACTGGACCTAATGGTCAGGAGTCCCTTTACCTTTTTAACAGGATGTGTGATTGTATTATGTATATTTGGGTGTTTTTTAAAAAGAGAGCTGCTGATTTTTATCCATATTTTGATACTGTTGTTACCTGCCCTTTTTAAAAGCTTTTTAAAATGAGTATTTTACGCTGTTCTGCAAACCTCTGCCATAGAGATATTTCTTTAATTAAGCGGTATATATATCTTGCTAAGTAAATAAATGTTGTGAGCGAAAGGACAACAGAGCCTGCAGTGGAAACTCAGCTTTGAATGATGTCGCCCAAAAGGGATCTCAAACAGGCCTTGGCGGGCAGCTTTCTGAGAAGACGGCGGCTGATTCCCATGTGAAAGGCACCAAGAAAAAGAAGCCAGACAGCCCCAGATTAGGACACAGTACATTTAGCAAACTGTTTAGGCATAAGGTTGGTACTGGAGACTAACAAAAATGGAACCCTGAATGGCAGCAGATGAGTCTTCGCTTTGTTGACGCAGAATGAAAAACTGCAAGGATCAGACTCCCTGAAGGGCAAAATCCGGCTTAGTGGGGAGGGAGAAAGAAGACATCTTGAGCGTTTTAGAGTCTGGAAATCTACCCCTTAAGCAACATCTGTGAATTCAGGGTTCAGGAAGGAAAACCCTCTAACCAATTCATAATGACCATTTCCCCAGTTGTGTTAATAACTCCCTCTCACTAACAATGCCCTGGCTGCCTTTAACCTGAGGTTCGATCTGACAAACAATGAAGTCAAAAAGAGACTATTAAAATTACACCTACCTGCATGTAAAGCGTTCAGAGAATTTCACGTGCCATTATGTTAACGATCCTGCAACAGGTAGGTGGCACAGTGGTTGTGCTATTTGTGGTGTCTCTTTCTAGCAGTCTTGAAGCTCCAGAAAGCTACTGAACCAGCACTGTAAAACTGTAAAACTGAAATATAGAATAACAGAATTCTATATAACTCCCATCAGTGAAAGGGGAAAATTTGAATGTGCTCTCCACTTGTAAGAAGCATTCCACACCATAGCGGCCACTTGCGCCTCCAGTGACAATGGCGGATCCAAGAGTACCCTCAAGCTACAATCTTGCTCCTTTAGGATAACTCTTCAGATAACTGTAGACAGCTGGTTCCCTGCAACTCCCTCACACTTGTAAAGCAAAGCAGTAGCCGCAAGTCAGCAGTAAAGACCCAGAATGAATGCATGGCTAATTTTGAAGAATCGTAAGATTTGTATTAGTACAGAATCGTAGCCAAAACCACGTCAACGTATTACTATTCAATATTAAGTATCAATATTTTTGTTTGGAGGAAAAGAATGGGAGCATTCTGTCCTGAGGAATGCATATAGACAAAGACCCTTGAGCTGTGGATGGAAAATGAAGTTAATTTCTGAGTGCAGAAATTCCACTCAGACACCCACATGGAATTTTTGGGAGTAGAGGGGATTACATAATAAGTGCATTGATTTGGAATAGAATGGTACTGGGAAAGGCACTTAGGCTGCTCTGAAACGAAAGTATCGTATCGGTTGCTGTATTTGAAAAGGAAAGATCCACACATTCACCTGAAGAGGGATGAGCTATAGAAGTTGTAACTACAAGATCCTATTTAGGGTCAAGAGAAAAGTTTTGAGGCTCCAGCCCTAACCATGCTTAAAAAGAAATAAATATCAGGTAGTTCAGGGGTAAGTATGTCTGAGTAGACACGAGGATCAAGCTGGGGAAAGGCTGCTTCATAGTACGTTTTGCTAATTAAATATATACATTGATAGATGCACGTTCACATTTCACCAAGACGTGCGTCTTGTCCCAGAGGGAGATGTGCAAACTTCACGCTGAAATTTATAAAGTGGCACAGTGAACAAGAGCTGCCAGTCTTGCTTCCTGTTGTCCCCGTACCTCATATCTTCTGAAGCCAGCACATTCTTCCTCAAAACCATGGTCACCTTCTGAACCAGGGAAACATTGTTTTTCAGGTCTTAATGTTAATACTAATTTCAACCAAAAGTATGTTTTCTAAAAAAAAACAAAACCGAAATAACATAAATACTAATAGCTGGATACAGGTTCATTGGTGCATTGGGATTACATGAGGAGGTCATTATTGTATACAGTGGTACCTCGGGTTAAGTACTTAATTCATTCCAGAGGTCTGTTATAACCTGAAACTGTTCTTAACCTGAAGCACCACTTTAGCTAATGGGGCCTCCTGCTGCTGCCGTGCCATCGGAGCACGATTTCTGTTCTCAACCTGAATCAAAGTTCTTAACCCGAGGTATTATTTCTGGGTTAGCCAAGTCTGTAACCTGAAGCGTATGTAACCCGAGGTACCAGTGTATGAGAAATTTACAATGGAAGTTATGAATGCATACTATGTTTTCAAAAATGGTCACTTTCACAAGGAATTTATGGTGGAACAGGAGCAGTTGCAATGACTGTCACTTTGAACAACAACAAAATATCTAGGCACACTTTTTAATAACAAGAATACAAAGCTGAAAATGAAAGAACTGCAGTTAAAATATGATGTTCATTTTTCACATGGTCTAGTCCTTCCCCTGCCCACCCCCCTAATATTCTTAAAAGGGTCTCTTCTTCAGTCTTCAGAGAGTAGCTGGAAGTGGGGAGGCAGAAAAAGGTCCTACTTTCCTTCCACTCTGCAGTTTTAATCTGACATAGCCCCAAATGACTTGTGTTGTGTATTTCCTCTTCTTTTAGGCAAAGAAAGATGCCGAGCAGGCAGCAAATACCAAAGTGAGTAACATTGTTGAAAAGCATTCATGAGTTTCCAGTTGCAAAGAACATTTCTACAAGTTTCAGATTAATAGTGAGCGAACAGCCTCGTACCTGGCATTGCTCAGGAATTCAACAAACAAAAATCAGTGCCATTTTGAAACTAGTGGTTAAAATCAGTGCAGAACAGCTCTTGATTCAAAATGGCATCCAGTTGTATCAAAATAGACAAAAACGTGCTCTTTGATCTCAGGATCCACCATGTAGAATTTGGTTACAATATCTTAAGTGTCCAGATGTATAGAGAGCCATCATGTGCCCAAAATGTGACTTTAGCAGTCATTCCCTACAAAAGTCATTTCCTCTTCGCCCATGCTATAACCCAGCCTTCCACAACTGGTACTCTCCAGATGTTTTGTACTACAGCTCTCAGCAGTATCAGCCAGTGCTGCCATGCTGGGAATTGTAATCCAAAACATCTTTGTTGTTTAGTCGTTTAGTCGTGTCCGACTCTTCGTGACCCCATGGACCAGAGCACGCCAGGCACTCCTGTCTTCCACTGCCTCCCGCAGTTTGGTCAAACTCATGCTGGTAGCTTCGAGAACACTATCCAACCATCTCGTCCTCTGTTGTCCCCTTCTCCTTGTGCCCTCCATCTTTCCCAACATCAGGGACTTTTCCAGGGAGTCTTCTCTTGTCATGAGGTGGCCAAAGTATTGGAGCCTCAGCTTCACGATCTGTCCTTCCAGTGAGCACTCAGGGCTGATTTCCTTAAGAATGGATACGTTTGATCTTCTTGCGGTCCATGGGACTCTCAAGAGTCTCCTCCAGCACCATAATTCAAAAGCATCAATTCTTCGGCGATCAGCCTTCTTTATGGTCCAGCTCTCACTTCCATACATCACTACTGGGAAAACCATAGCTTTTAGAGGGCACTAAATTGGGGAAGGCTGCCATAATGCACAGGGTATGCATAAAAATGTAGGAATGGATTCTCTTTCATAAGCTATAGTTGTGTCATGTTATCTTGTCTCTTTCCCCCATCCTTATTATTCCCCCCACTTTGTGAAAACACATTCAGCACACATTACTCTCCCCGTCCAAGAATCCTGAGAACTGCAGTTTCTCCCTCACAGAACTACAGTTCCCAGCACTGTTAAGAAACTACTGTTCCCACGGTTCTTTGGAGGAAGCCGTGTGCTTTAAATGTGTGTTGAGCTTCAGCTTAATGTCTGTCGTGGGCCAACACCGCCCCATTCTGCAAATCTTTAAATGGCCCTTTGTCTATTTACAAATTCTTGTGTATGTTTCCAGATTGCTGAGCAGCCTGTAATCACTGCTACCGTGGCATCGGAAGCAAACGTCGCTCCACCACAGGAGAGTCCAGCCGCAAAGCAGAACACAAGGGCTCCTGACGCTCCTGCACCACAACCAGCCACAGCGACAGTGATTGTCACCAACGAAACTCCAAAAGAAATAATAATAACAAAGGAGAGATCTTCTTCTACTCCTACACCCCTAAGTAAATTCTTTCGAAAAAAGGTACGTGTGGATTTTCTGGATAGCCATTTTCCTTTCTGGCTAGATTTATTTATAGGAGTTTTTTTCATATACCTCACGATAGGTCCTGGGTTGACCCAGTGTTGAAAGGCTTCTTAGAATGGATGATGCCACAGCAAAGCCAGATTAAATGCAGGTTTTCCATGGGAGGGTCTTTATTTATTTACTTGCACATGTCAATGACTTCAAAAATCCAAAAATTGCTCATTGGGCAGCACAGCTAAAGAAAATAACCGCTCATTTGTCTTATATGCATGCCCTGTCCATTTCTCAAAAGCTCAAAGCAACCTGCAATATAATAGCAACTTGAAACATCAAATGTCGCTTTTATTTGTGCTAGATTTAATTACAGCCAATCGCTTCAAACATACCTCTATTAACACATCAGCTGAGGTATCCCTATCAACAAAAGTAACTGTCATCAGCAAATGAGAGCCAAATCAGTAGCAGGGGTACCATCAATAAAACATTATGTTTTTGGTAAGCCATAAAATAGCCAGTCATTTAGGCTTCCTGGGTGACTGGATATTTTCCTTGAACCCAGACGTGCCTGGAATTTCCTCCCAGGATACAATTGTTATCACTAGTGAAACTAAACCCACTGCATCAACATAGCATGAGAGACAGGACGCATTTGGGCTACAGCTGTAGCAGCACTGGCTGTAATATGATCCCACACTATACTGTTTTTAAAAAAACCAAGTCCCGGGAGATTGCTTCTGCTCTGCCTTATTGAGGATGTATTCTGCTTTGGGAAGAGAACAAACTCCTATAGCTAGATAACTGGTTACATCTGGTGAGCTGGAAGACCAAATATAACTGCCAATGGCATCAGTGCAACAGCTAATGCCATATGCTAATAAAATTTACATCAATGGGGATGCAGTTTGACAAGCACCACATCAATATTTGTTGTTTTGGAGTGCTTAAAAGGCTTTCTTTGAACGGTGCCATTGGATTTTAATGTCCATACTGTATTTTATTTCGTAGCTGTGATTTAAGGTATTCTGTCTTTCTGTTGGGTCATCTTTTGTTGCAATATAGCAATGCTGCATTACATTTTATACTAAGAGTAAAATAAAAGTTGAAGATGACATGGTGACCATATCACAGCCGCTAATAATGGTGCTGGTTCTTTTTAAGGTTGTGTATTTTGTTGATTCCTGGTTTATTATTTGTTCTGTCTTGTCAGTAAACTCAGAACCCCTCCAGACATCCATTTTATGTGAATTCATGATTATTTGTGCTGATGGTGGTATCGGGGCGATTATTTGCAATCCTGCTTTCAGTGGGGAAAACATACTGATGCATTTCCAAACAGTGGATCTCCCCAACTTCCTCCTGATACCCTGTAACATTCCATACCACAAATGTTCGCTGGTCAATAATTTGCTGTGCCATAGCACAAGAGTGCCCCTTCAGACTCCTTCCCAACATTTCAGCGACATCTCCCAACAACTAATAAAGGGGACTGTCTGGTATAAATCCACCACTAATGAACACCCACAAATTGTCTGGAGGGGTCCTCAACTGATGCAATTTCTATTACTACTGTTAATAACACCACAGGCTAAGTAGCTAATGGTTACTTCACTCTTGAATTTAAGCGTGAAACTGCACATTGTGATGCAAACAATGGGTTGCTGGCAAGAAAACTGTGTTCAGTTTTCTCCTTTTTCCTTGTGACTATTTTGCTAATCTTGCCCACATGCTTGACAACACAGCTTTATGGGTTTCTCCAACTCTGCTCCACATAACTGACTGCCCCCTGGTCAGCAGCAGGGTTTCTCCAACTCTGCTCCACATAACTGACTGCCCCCTGGTCAGCAGCAGGGTAGCACATTATGTTGGTCAATACCGTGGGAAATTTCACTTCACGCTACCAAGGAGAAACGGGAGAACTGGATCACAGACTGCCGCCTTTCAGCAGCAACTCTCTGCTGCCTAACATTCAGTTCCTCCCCAACATCTAAACAGGCAATAGGGATTTCATAGCCTACCTCCTTGGCACTTTGTTAACCACAGTGTTGCAGAAATTCCACCATTGTCATGCCAAAAGTGGACTGAGCAGCGATATTTACAGATACCATGGGCATGTGAATGTGAGCTTTATCCATACATACTGTACAATGAAATCACTTGTACTCTTGCTATACTATACCACTTCACGCTGCAGGTAGGCGGGATGGCATGTCTGAAGTTTCCCTCACATAAAAATAAATGTCATGCATGTAGAAATGTAGCATGCCAGGGGAAAAGGTTCTAACCTAATTTTCCACCTAGCATGCTAATTTTCTTTGGGAAGGGACCTGATGGTCTGTTTGTTTAAGTCATTTGTGGACTATCAACAGATCTCAAAGTAGTTTACATCATTGAAGCAATTTGTTAGCTTTTATAAGCAGCTAAATATACTCAGGAAGTTACAGTACTAGAAAGGATTTTCTCCAAGGAAACTCTAAAATCCAGTTGTGTTTCACAGAAGGTGGGAGTGGCATCCAGGGTGCAAAAATCCAACCTGTTTCCTATAAAATCAGTCTCTTTAAGTTTGAAATAAATGTTCATCCTTCTGAGATGATGGCTCTTATTCCCGTAAGTGATTCTGAATTTCTAAAGTAGGCCATCTTAATTTATCTAAATGCATTCCACTGTTCCTTAACATTTGTTACAAATAACCTGCAGACTCCAACAGATGACATCGAGGTGATAAACACGGAGAGGATCGAAGCATCTCCCCAAGCCCCAGCTAAAGTCGAAAGCAGAAGTCAGGAAGCAGCGGAAGTAAAGTCCAAAGCAGTGGAAGAGAAGCCCAGCAAAACTAAGGATCTGAGGAAATTATTTAAATTGGTAAGAAGGGTATTTTTGAATCTGTATGGGAGGAGGTATAAAGTATGACCTAGAAGGGATTAATTTGTAAAGTATTTGAAATAGCCAAGCAGAGTAGTTAGAGTACCGCAACATTTGTTGGTGGCCTATGGTGGAGCAACTCCTCTCATGATCTCACCATCTCACCTCCCTTCCTTACTCCCACCCCCTGCAACAGGGACCATATTAGAAACAGCCAGACCTATAGAGTAAACTCACCACCTCCATAAGTCATACAACAGATAATGGGCACTTAGAAGTTCCAGACAGGTGTGTGTTGTGGAATCAAAACTCTTCATACATGCAAGTTTCTTGCATTCCATATAACACGGCCAGCATCAAAATGCCAATGTATAATTTCCTCCCATTTAATCCCCATTTACCTTGATTTCTGGAGAACCTTAAGGCCATTCCCTCTTCTAAACATTTGTTGATTTTTCACCCCACACACTCAGTCAAACAGCACCCACCAGTGAACTCTAACAGCACCTGCCCAAAGTTGTTGGCTGCCTTCAAAATCGCAGCAAGCCTCTAAAACACCCGAGGAAATGAGAAGTCTCCACATTTGCCCAAAATTGACATACAGTATTTAACGGGCTCCGTAGATTGGAAAGAGGGAGGTATGCATTATCTGGATTGGATTTATTTGAAAAAGAAAACAGGGGCTAAGGAATCTAGCTAGCATTGCCTGTTAAAGTCCTCTGTAACCCCAGCACTACAGAAACATGTTAAGAAGAAATGCATCTAACCCTTTGTTATTCTAGCCAGTCAGAGGTGACGCAGTAGTAGTTGCTCCAGAAGAGGTAAATGGGCAAGCCCCTGATGCCCAAGTAAGTGTATGGATTCGATCTTCTCTTGGTGATGGGTTCAGCTGGTATCTACTTCCGGAGCCTCACTTTGCTGTTTCTTCTTTCATGACAGCAAAACTCATCTGTCCATTGAGCATGTTTTGTTCAGCCTCTGACCAATTGTGTTCCATGCTTTACTTCCTTCATTTTTTGCACCTAAATTTGGGACTGTTGGGTTTAAAAACTGTCACTATCGCCTTTGGAAACAAATCTCTGTATCCATAATTGCAATCAAAACTAAAATTAATAAATTGTTTGGGTTTTTAAATGACCAGATTTATGAAAAGCACTGCAAGCATATATCCAATAGTTCATAGGTGTATGGATTTTATACATTTCTAAAGAACCTCTAACATCATTTTAAGCTATCAGATCTTTACAAAAATTCAACGTGAGGATAAATAAAGACAATTTCGTCTTATCTGTGTGTTTGTTCTCAAGTTTGTCTTAAAACCCTCCCTGTGTTCTTATTTTTATGTGTAGTGCATGTCAGTCTGGCATCTGTGTAAAGTTCTTAATACTGTATCAAGTCCATTCACTTCATATTAACTTAGTTTGCTATTTCTTCTACACTAGTGAAATAATTCATTTAAAGTTAATGCGAGTGTATCCAACACCGCTGTTCTGCTCACACAGAACTTCAGAACTTCTCCCTCTTCTCCTTTCAGTCCCTGATCACCCTCAATAACTGTTCCAGAGGGTTGGGGGACTTTCCAGAGCAGATTTGGGGTGGAGGGTGTCACAGGAAGAGAAGAGGAAGGTCCTATCTTGCAAGTGGAACTCATGTTCCATTGCAAAAGTGAACTTCCAACTAGTATATTAATTTACTGCACTTAATTAAAGGTTAGCTCTTTATCTTGCAACCAGTGATTATAAGTACCTTTGCTTCCTTTTCCCAGTTATGTGCTGTTAAAACCTTTGCCACCATTAATACATAACGAAGTAGAAATGGCTGTACTGCAGTCTTCATATACTGGATCAATTGATTTGAGATTTAGTACCTGATGTGGACAGTACAGGCAGCGGACTGATTGCTTTCATTTGTGGAATGTGGAAACTCCTTGCTGTCCATTGTGAACCACAAAACACAGGCCTATTGCTGAAGCCTGTGAGCTAGCCGAAGCTTATCTTTTGGGGGCTCAGGGGTCCCATTGGCCCATTGCAACCCCTCCAGGGGCAACATGAAATTGGAAGATGCACCCAGTGTGGGGTGTGTGTAAGCTCTCTGGATGAAGGACTGACTGCCCATGAACCATATATAAGCCACTGTGAGCTCTTTGCAGGAAAAGTCAGCAATAAGTGTAACAAATAAACATCCCTTCTCAGTTTGCACTGGGTAAATAGGGGAGACTTACTTTTCTTTACGATGTTTGGTGTTGGGCATTGCACTGGTTGTTATCAATTCATTTAGCCAACCGTCCCTTTCAGTAAGCCTTGAGGCCTTACGTTATAACACTGTACATATGCAATGTGCCTACAACACTTCACCGTTGCTAAGGGAACAGTTCCCAATCAGCTCCATTTAACTTCATGGTGGTGGCAACAGTATAGAGCCCTGAAAGAAGAGGGGAGAGGTCACCGCACAGCAAAAAACGTGCAGAAGCAGACTGTTTGCTGCACCAGTCTGGAGCACTGCCAGTGCAAGGGCCCATTTGTCCTCTGATGGGGGCATCCCCTCCTTGGACGCTCTGCTATCCCTTTCCTGATCTTTACCGAAATGCAGTCCACCAAAGGTTGAAGAGTTTGATTGATTCAGGTCTCAAGTCAATTAAAATCTCTGGGGCAGACGTGAGTAGAATTCGTCGGGAAAACTATGATCCCGTTAATCTGGTTTTCCTTTCTCAAGAAACGCTAGCTGCCTACAAGCTGAGACAGATTGTTGGGTCTGGATCAGCTGTTAGGAAGGGGAGTGATACAGTTCATTATTTACAGCTTTCCTTTTTTCTATTTCCCTGCGTTCTTTCCTTCAACATTAAAATGTGCCAAATTTGCTGCTTTGAAACATGCTGATATTCTGCCTGATTCAAAGATAAGATGATATCCTGAACATGCTCTTTCCACTTAGCTCAAGGGTAACCTTTTCTTGACACCACCATTTGTTCTTCACAGTCAGCTGAAACTTGTGAAGAGAAGGATCTTAGAAATCACAGGGTGGTTGCAGTGGGGCTGCATTTAAAAAAATGCAGAGCTCCTGTGTTATTAACAGTTTCGCGGCAGGTGGAAACGGGGGGGGGGGACCAATTTTTTCCTCATAACTGTACATCCTTAGCAATTTCTAGAGGGTCACGTACTTCCTTTAGTGCTTCCCCAACCCACCTTTCCCTTATGTCAGTCCCTCAACTTTTAATTCAAACCAGCCATGAATAGTTTGTGTAGACACAATGGCCCAGTCTGCATGGGACACTAAACCAGATCATGGCTTAGTGCGAATGAGCAGGCATGTGGGTTCCTGGACAGAACTGCTTTGCTTCTTTTCTGGTCCTGCTGCTGCCCTGCTGCAGAGAGCCAAGCCATGGTTTGGCTTAGTGTTACATCCTAACCCAGGCTCATTGTTTAACTAGCAGACAAACCAGGAACTGAAGCCAAAGTTTGTTCCATGGCTTACTGCTCATAGTTTGCTTGTTTGCATTAAGCCATGGTTCAGTCAGCCATCCCTAGCCTTTAGTCATGGTTTGTTGTAACCATGGTGGACAATGATGCACCTAAGCTAACCTTTGTTTCAAACACTGGGCTTGTGTTATCACAGTGGTTAACGGTGTGGCTAATAAAAACTGTAGGTATTGGGAGAAACTGAAGAGCTACAGGGAGAAGAAGGGAAGAGCTACAGTGAGGGCAGGAGTGCCAGTATGGCCCCACAACCATGGTTGCCTGGGGCCACTGATGCCATGCAGTGTGCATGACCATGGCACCAAAATTTGTAGGTGCCCGGCCCCTTCATGGGGAATTTTGTGGGTGCTCCCAGGGTCCCAGGGAGTTGGCAACTATGATTGAGGGTCTCTGCAATCAAGCAGCCCACACCTACATCTCTTAATTGTGGTTTGAGTCTTGAGCAAGGCACTGCTTGTGCACTAGCCTAGACAATAAAGTAGGGATGTTTGAAAAGAAACAGCATGGGAACGTTCTTCATGCAGGCTCCAGAAGCTGATTCTGCAATCTGTAAATGTTACTATGCCAGGGGTATGGATTCAGAGGTTTCATACACCAAGGCACGCTGCCTGAGCAAATTAAATTCAGAATGTTTTTTTAAAAAAATAATAATTAAAATTTAAGAGTTTTATGTTAACCCACAGGTTGCCTATAAACCCTGAAAATATCATGACCTGTGACTTTCAGCCACCTTTAAAGCATGTGTGTGGCTTCCAGATGTATAGCTTGGGCATAACATCCCAGATGCACAATAATGGCAGGGAAAGGGGTGCATATTATTTTGTTTCACTTTGTAATCTAACATTGCTGTTCACTTCCTCTTTCTTTTAAACAAACTGTAGCATTTTGTTGTGAACCTTTTTGAACTTTGTCCATATCCTGTTCTTATTTCACTCCCTTTGCTATAGTGAACTGTCTTGTAATAGTTGTTACTTCGGAAACAAAAACAATAATATTTTAAAAATGAATGGATGTAAGAAGTCATGTTTTCTCCATTTGCAATTCCATGCAGAATTTTCTATGGCATTGGACTACCTTGACCAAATCATGGCTTGTCAATCTTCTGGTGGAGTATTGTAATTTTACACTGTGGAAATTTGTCTGTACAATCTTTCTCTTCTGTAGCCCAGTGTCATTTATCTGTTATCTTGATTTTTCAAATCTTTCTCTGTTTCTGTCTCCCATCTTTTGGTTTCATGCTTCATGGCTTGGGAAGAGAACACTGTTACTGCTTTGTTGTAATGTGTTGTTGTTGCATGCATGCATGAGAAAACATTGTGTCTCTAGGGTTGTGTTTAGATGGTAACTTCCTAGGCTCCAGATTATAGATCCTATTATTATGAAAATTATACCTGCTGACATTTCCTCCTCTGCATAACTATGAAAGGTGCAGGAGCCCTGATCTCCTTTGCATCTAGCCAGCCCAGCTGCCAACATGAGAAACTGCATTGTACCAAGTCAAGCCAGCAATCTATATAGTTCAGTACTGACTAAACTGATTGACAGTGGCTCTGCAGGATTTGAGAAAGGGGTTCTCCAAGCCTCACCTGGAGATGCCAGGGATTTAACTAGGGCCTTCTGCATGCAAATGAAGTGGTCCCATTAGGGATTCCAAATTTTAGGGTCCGTAGTTAATGTAAAGTACAAACCCTGTCTTTGATGTATCAATTACTCATTTTGTGGGTTGCTGCAAAATGTGGGGTTTTCGCTGCAAAACAACTGCAGAGGTTTGGCACAGGTTTGGAGGGGATTCCAAATTTGGGGGTTCATAGTTCATGTCCAGTACAAACCCTGTGTTTGATGTATCAATTACTCAGTTTGTGGGGCGCTGCAAAACACAGGGTTTTCGCTGCAAAACAACTGCAAAACTTTGGCACAGGTTTGGAGGGGATCCTAAATTTTGGGGTTCGTAGTTTCGAAAAGAAAGTGCTCTGTCACAAAAAGGGGAATACCTTTTTGGTTTAGGAAACTGTGGCGGTTATTGCAGTGTTAAGCAGTACACCATGCAAATCCCACGTTCATCTGCAGCTGGTTCCAGTCAATTGGGTGAGCGGCATTGATTTAAACAGCCCATGTGTCTTGCCATGTGGTTCAAATATTGCCGCAGCCTTGAAGTCACTAAGCAGCCTTCAGCAAACTGCTACCTCTTAGCCTCAGAACTCCATCTATAATATGGGAATGGCAGTCACCCTGGGCTGCTTTAGAAGATTGTTGTAACTACTACCAAGGTTATATTTGTGGCGTGCTTTGGACACTCTCTAAAAACATGTTAGGAAATGCTATTTGTGGGATGCCTGAAAAAGATCCATCTAGACATGGCCCTAACTTAAATGCCTTTCCTCAATTTTTTATTATGCATGGAGAAATAGAAAAACAACAGACATGTGTAAAAAGAAATGCTTTGCAGAAAGCCACTTGTGCATTTTCCTCCATGAGAGTAGTCCCAGAACTGTAAAAAGGGCAACTTGTGTGTGAGAGAGAGGGGAGGAGGGTGGCAGGCTGAACATACTAGTATTATGATGTGCAGCCCGATCCTATGCATGTTCAGGGAGAAGTAAGCCCTACCATGGCTCTTATTTCCTCATTAAGTGTGCATAGGATTGCAGCAAATAGATTTTCCACCATTTGGGTTGCATGTGCATTGGAGGCGAGGTAGCTTTAATTTTAAATAAACTGGGGGGCCTCCTGCCAAATGCATTTCTTTCTTTCTTTCTTTCTTTAAAAAATAACTGCTGTTTGAAACTGCTTTAGACACTGGACTTCAAAGACAGGCCCTTGACCCAGGCTGAGAACAGAGAACCTGTGGCTGCGAGGAGCCAAGAGAGTTCAACAGAGAACCAGCAAGGAAACAAACAGGAAGCCAAAGACCAGCCAGACTCCACAGAGCAACAAACAGCCGAGACAGACTCCCTTCAGAACGGAGGGGAAGCTGCGAAGGAAAACACTGTGAAGAGGATAGAGAAGAGACAGTCATTCGGAGGGTTTTTTAAGGGCCTTGTACGTTACCTTTCATTTTTCTTTAGCAATCCTGGTGTAGCCACCATTCTGGGAAGCTTTCGTGTATAAGCATGTTGGGTCTTAGCCTCCAAATCTGTTCCCAGGAGTTCACTTGTATGCCACAATTTGTCAATTGGGGTTGTAATGTGTTTGGTAAAGAGCAGGGCCGGTGCTAAATTTGAGAGGGGCTGGGCAAGGAGCCTTCTGCTTAGGCATGGACAAATCTCTCAATTTTGGTTTCTCGTTTTTCCAAACTTATATTCAGTTCTCCATGTTTCCATAGCAGTTTTCAACTTTTTCTTTTTTAAGTCCTCTGCAAAAAAAATATATCTGGGTTTTCTCCTGATCTATACACTTTCGTGTGCGATTTTGCCTTATATACACATTTTTGCAAACAATTTTCCTACTATGATGCATTGTTGCATGGTGTTTCTGCATTTTAGTACACATTCCCCTTTTTATACATTTTTGTAAACAATTTTTGGTTGGAGAACTGAATTGCAAAATTCAGAAAAGTCTGGATTTTGATGGATAATTGTGTTATGGTTCATGCATTGTTTGGGGACATACAAATTAGATATTTTTGCACTAAAATTGCATTAAAATGCAAGTAAGGTAAATTTCTCCCTACTACTCCTTTCTCCTTCCACCCCTGGTGGTCCCGTAACCTTGTCCGGTGGCAACAGCAGTGGGGTGGCACTTAGTCCAGTACTGAAAAGAGAAACACGGGGTAAAAAGGCTGATTCAACAGCCGCCGCCATCATACATTTCCTGTGAATCTTGGACTGTGAACCTGACTGCCTGTTTTACATCTTTTCTTCTGCTGGATCAATCCCACTTCTTACCCTTTCCCATCTCCTGTTCATATATGTGTCATGTCTTCTAGATTGTGAGCCTTTGGGCAGGACACTTTGTGCTTTATTTTCCCCCAATTGCTAATCATTTAGCAGGGGGCACTAAATTAACAACAGCAATACATACGTGTATATACTGAAAGCACTTTTACTTCATCTCTTCCAACTGCTTGCTATAAGGAAAGCTAAAGGTATAAGCAGAGACGCCTGGAGCTTCTTGGGGCAACTGCTAAGAACACCATTTATTTGAGCCTTCCTTATACATGTGAACGCTAATGGTGATTTTTTTTTAACAATATATGTACGTAGGGTCCAAACCTTTTATATGTTAGAACTCGCAATTCTACACTGGTCTAAGCTCTTCTTGCCCACCAGATCAGATAAGGCCCCACAACATACTGGCTTTCTGCATGAATAATTCAAACCACATGAAGGTTATCTTATGAATGACATTAAATGCAAAATAAACTTTCCTGAGACATGAGCTTTCAGATGCTACAGCCAGGACTGTATGTTTTCTGTGATTCTGCACAAGCACAGAGAAATTGCAAAATGGGATCACTGGGTGCATAACCTCGTCTTTCTTTTCTTAAAAAACCCAAGTTTCTAGTCCTTTTGCTTACCAACCTTAAGTTGCAAGCATGCAAACAGTCTCTGACTCAAGAGGTGCTGAATAAGATTTCCAGTAGTCTAGGTGTAGTATTTCAAAGTCCTGGCTCCTCCCCATAACTTACTGGTTATGGACATATTACAGGTTTTCTTTTGATACTGTTTTTGTTTTACTCAGCATTGTGCAGAATTGTTTTTAAGTGAAAATTTACACACAGCCTATTTCACTGTCTGTATAACATGGGCTACAAGCTTAGTAAGAATGTAAGTGGAAAATGCCTATGTGATGCTCCAACATAATCAGCTATTTAGCATCTTCATCAATATCTTTACATCTCTCTCTCTCTCTGTTTTTCCCCCCGTCAACAGAGCCCCAAACGGATGTCCGATGCCGAAGTACAAACAGATCCAGTATCAATTGTGCCTTTTGTGAAACCCAAGTAATGAATACACCGAACCAAATGACAGATCGTTGGATCTCCGCCATCATTTCCCCTCACCCATGCAGTGTAAAAAAGGAGACTTGCTTTGGTTCATTTTTCTTCCCTTCCACCCCCTTGCTTCATATGGTTGTTGTGCTAGGCTCAAGCAAAGACTGGTGTACATTCTGGATTTCTTCAGCAAGTTTTCTTCAAATAGGCTAACTTAAAGGTCACAGAAAAGCAATGGAGAAACTCTTAGAGTTGAGGAGAGCTCAGCTGCTGGGAAGGTTAATGGGAAAGGAAAAGAATAGAGAGTCGTGTCAGTCCAAGAAGTAGGGAGAGCGATATTGACTATGGCCACCAACATGAAAATCCTCACGGCATAAAAGCTCACCATTCTTAGGGCAAAGCCAGATGTTACTTTAATAGCTCTATTATCAACCACATCTGTGTATGTGTGCATTTTAAAATTGAATACCAGGGGCATGTGGGGAGGGGAGGTTTATCCCTCCTCCCCAGCTTCGATGCTGATTAAAATTAACCAAAGCGAGCGTCTTCTTCCCACTCTATCAAAGCTAATTGCTGTTAGTGGAGGGCAATTTTTGTCAGGATTGCATCTGGGAAGAGAATTGTTAAGGTTCCCTTTCCTTCATGCTGCAGTCCCTATGAAAATTGGGGAGGCAGGGAAAAGCATGTGCCTGGTCTTGATTTTTTCAAAACAAGATGTGGTTGCTAATTAGAGCATTAAAGTAATGCTTGGTTTTGACTGGAGACCTCTGCTCCCAAATCTGGCCCTGTCATGCCATCTTATGGCAGGGTCCGTCCCCCCCCCCCATACTCTGTCTCTGGGCAGCCTCACTGAACCAAGACATACGTCTCTGATGACCAGATCTTAATGTGCATGCCTTTGTCCAGGGCTGAGCCCAGCATATTGATCCACTTCACATCCCCTGCAAGGGGAAAGCAAAATTATGAGAGTCTCTTATTACCCCCAGCTGCAGTAAACATGTTGGGCAGTTTATTAGAGCTGCCAAATTTAGTGCACCCAGTTAGCATATTCATAATTTGTATCTTCATTGCTTTTTTCTTTACACAATATGCAGATTGTGTTTCCCTGGTTTGCAGGCTGATTACAGCCCTAACGGTTCTTTATCCCAAGCCTGTATTCCAAGCTCTCCCTGCATGTGTACATATGCAGATAAGGTCTACTTGTATGTGTACCTATGTGTACCTATGTGCAGATGTCTACTTGTTAACAATCTTTACAGCACATCATACCATTTTAATCTGGACTGATTAGCATAACAGTGAGCACGCAGCAGTGTTGCAGTCAAGTGGTGTAGAATCCTTCCTTGTCATAAGTGTGGAGAATAGCACAGACTAAGTTGGTCAGGGAGATGGTGTTCAAAGCACAATGTTTGCGTTAGCCAGCAAAACTGCAACCTGAAGATTCATATCTTCCCACTTGCCTATCTCTGAACATGGGGAAGTTATCTTATACTGTGTGAGACCATTCAGCATTGCCTCCTCTAAATGGTCATAGCCCTCTAAGATCTCAGGTCTTTCCCATCCCAATATGTGAGATTGAATCTGTCACCTACAATATTGCAAAGTATGAGTTCTCTCACTATGCTGTTGTTCCTTTCGATTGCCTGTGGCTACTCTAGGAATCAAAATCAGTTTCAGTTGGGAGTTTTGTAGATGTACGGTCAGGTGAGATAGACAGCCTTTTAAGAGGAGGCTGTCTTCTTACACCTCTCTGTAACCTGGTGCAGATATAATGGGCATGGTTAGCATTTGTTGCTAACCCTGATTCTATCCTTTGCAGTGAAAAGATCTAGTTTTCCTAGTTATGCTCTATAAACAGAGAATAGTTCCGTTCAGTTAATCATTCTCAGCTTCATAAATATGTGGTTTCATAACCTGTGGCTTATGAAGCCTGAAACAATTGTCCAATGTATATAGGGAGAACTTGTTGCCTTAACCGTGGTTTGGTCATTACAGATGCAGTACATAACCACAGCTAATGCAAACTATGGTTTGCAAACACACTTCAGTCCATAGTTTCCCACCCTATTTTCCAGGCAACTCTTAATGATCATCTAATTAATCAGATGCAGTGCTTAAGCATGGTTAAGAAAGTAAACCACAGTTAAGTGTTATGTCTGCATAGGGTAATGTGGAAGATGGAATGATTATTCTAACAAAGTAAGAAAACATTCTAAGCCTGCAATTCTAAACAAAATACAATTACTCAGAAGTAAGATTTATTGAACAGTAAACATTGCATTGGGTTGCACAGCGTAATAAGGGTCCTGTTTAAAATAATTATAGTTAGATGGAGGTGATAAGAAGGATTCTGTTTTTGTGGCAAAATTATGTGGAGGGTGGAAGAATAAGTATAAAGCTTTTAGAATCATCATTTGATAAATTGAACATTGACAAGATTTTTTTTTTAAAAAAAAGTTTGTGGTTATAAGTGCCAAGGTCATATAACTCAACTTTTAAGAGTGTGCTTCAAATTGATTTTCAAGTTATTAATATTGAAAAGGCTGAAATGTACAGGACTTCTAACTCATTCTCATCTATTTTCTTCCTTGATGTAATAAAATGGGGGGAAATTAGCTTTTGAAAAGAAAGTGATTAAAGTATTAACAAAAATGCAGCACAATGGAGCCCTTTATATCACTAACTCAAAGGATGTATTTACTTTTGTTATTAATTTTTTTCTTATCATTAAAGAAAAACACTTCAGTTTTACAGAAACGTTTTTAGTTTATGCCTGTAACTAAACTTAATTCCTTAAATGAAAACTATACCAGATTATAAGACTGAACAAAATTTTGCCTGCTTCAAAAAGATCATATGAGATGCAAGTTTAATAGTGTTCATGGAAAATTCAGATATGTGTGTTATTGTAAAAGCAAGGAAGAATAAGACTAATAATATAAACTAGCACCTGAATTCTAAATAGTTGTATATTTTGATTTTCTTCTGATTCAATAAACATTCCTGAAGAGAACTCATTTGCATTTTTAGTGTTTCAACTGAAAGTCATCATTCATGGTCACAGTTATTTTAAATCTAATATGGAGTAGATGGAAGAAGATTATACAATATTATTTAAAATAACCAGTGATCTACCAGAGACATCTAGTGATCTACCTGTTTGACGTGCCTGCTATAACCTTTCCCCTTGGGGGAATCACTCTACCCCCTTTTATCATTTTGGCTTACCTTTTCTGAACTTTTCCCAACTCTACAATATTCTTTTTGAGGTGAGACGACCAGGGCTAGTATAAGCTACTACAAGAACTTCAAACCTAGCCCGGTAGGACACAATTGGTAGCAAAATAATTTTAATACCAAAAGTATGTCTCTCATGGGGAGTGGAATGACCATGTTCTCTGCATTTCGGATGGTTCTTTGTTTTGCTTTTTTGCAGGGGGAGTTGACAAGTGTGTTGTGCCATTTCATTTCACTTGTATCCTGTCCTTCCTTCTCCTGCACTAACTGTAGTTGATGTGGTTCCCTTTAAAGCAAGAATCATCTGACTTTGTGAACAGCAATTAACAAGCATTAAGTGAATTGGGAAATGACTCCCAAGCAATTTCTACAGCACTTGAAAGAAGACATGTGTGCTTTCCTTTCACCCTTCATCTCTTCCACACACTGGAGCAATTGCAGGGCAGTTTTTTTCCACCTAGTGCATCTTCAGCTCCAGATGTGCTTGAGCGCAACTGAAATCTGAGCCTCGCTTTATAGTGCTACACAATTTGTCGCACCACAGAACATCAGTCAGGCCAGTGGAGTGGGGGAATTCAGTTTTCCATAACAATGAAATAAAATGCTCCTGGCTCTCCCTGTGACCTCTGTGATGTTTCTGAAGGATATCTTCAGTTTTATTAGGTTAGTTCGTGAACTTAAGCACAGATACATGGATGCAAAGTAACTTTTATATCAAGGAGACTGCTTAGAGAAGCGTGACTGTGAACATCTGTCCTAAGAAGGAGGAAGGGACTGCATGAACAATTCAGAATTGGCTCTCGCAAGAGGTAGAGAAGGCCGCCAATTTGCATTGCTTTAAAAGATTAGACAAATTCAGGGAGGACAGGGCTTTCAGCAGCTACTAGTTAGAATGGTTATGCGCTGCCACCACTGTGGGAAGTTGTGAATACCAGTTGTTGGGATTCACAAGTAGGGAGAGCACTGGTGCATTCATGTCCTGCTTGCAAGCTTCCCATGGTCATCTTGTTGACCACTGTGAGAAAATGGGCCTTTGCCAAAAGGAAAGTTGAGGCTTTTGTACAAAGTAAGATGATTAGAAAGGAAAAGTAGATTGGAAAGAATTTGAGAGGAGATGCAGAGAATACTGTCCAGGAAATGGTGGGAGGGAAATCAGAAGGAAGAAAATGAAAAGGAGCTTTGGCTATCATGACATAAAGCAAAAGAGTGAAAGGAGTGGAGATGCAGGCCAACCTGAAAAAGGGCTGCGCAAGACAGAAAATAATGGAAAGCTTGATTGGGATACAAGATACATTCAGGCTGGCTCTGTGCTCAAGTCACTCGTGCACGCTACACTATGTGTCATATGCACGGTGTTCACCTGACACATCAGCAAATCACCCCTCCTTGAAAATTTGGGGGGCCCTTGGCTCTTCTGCCCTCCTTAGATGGCACTCCTGCCAGAACTGCAGTGATACTTGGGCCCTGTTGCAAAGATTAGGGATGGACAAATTGGTTTCTCTCCATTTCTAATTATTCCAGTCTTAAATTCTGTTGTCCACATTTCTACATCAGTTTGCAATTTCTTTTTTTAAGGTTTCATGAAAATTCATCACCCTTTTAGCGCAAATTTCCCCTAAAATACACATTTTTGTATGCCATTTTGCCTAATAGGTGCAATTTTGCAAGCGATTTTCCCCAACAGAGTGCATTCTTGTAAGTAATTTTCACTAACACATATACATTTTTATCCATACTTTCCCCAAATATGTGCATCTTGTACGCATAATTAGGCTGGAAAACTGCATTGTAAAATCTGGTGAAGTGCAAATCTTGAAGGATAGTTGCACATTGGTTTGTGCCTTGTTTTGGTAAATGAGAATTAGGAAGGTCTGCCTTTCAATGAGGACTGAACCAAATGTCTACCCCATCCCTAAAAGACATATACCGTGACACAGGATTGGTTTGCTAGCTGCTATAAATCCCAATACTTCAGCTTAATTAGCTCATGTGTTTGCCTTCAATTGTGTTGGAAATGAATAGAAAAGAACACAAGAATAAATGTTCTCTTCTGTACTTTCTGCTTCTGTTAAAATTCTAACACAAACCCTTTCCCAGATGACTCAGGATGCATTTTTCAGTGGAAATTACATTTCTGGCTCCCCCAGATTTTGATTCACAAGAAAGTGGGTGTTCCAATTACATGTAGCTGACTCCAAACAGTTGTCCGTCTCAATATTTCTGTATGGTATTTGATTGGGTTTCCAGCTCTCCACCTTAAAATGGATCTCAATGATGTATAATACCAGTCTTGCCCAAACACTTGCAAGAAAGTAAAAAACCCCAGCGAACCTCTAATTCCACTGATAACCAGTGTAACAAAGTAGAAACGTTTTTTGGAATACGGGCAGGAAAGCTCTGGGCTCCTGCTTGAACAGAACTGATGACTAACCATAAATAGAGCAAAAAACATAGCCTAAAGTAACCTCCCCTTCTCACTGCCTTCAGCCCGCAAAGTAGATGCTATCTGATACCACATCTTTGCTCTGTCTTAATGACAACAACAATAGAATCATAGAATCATAGAATCATAGAGTTGGAAGAGACCACAAGGGCCATCGAGTCCAACCCCCTGCCAAGCAGGAAACACCATCAGAGCACTCCTGACATATGGTTGTCAAGCCTCTGCTTAAAGACCTCCAAAGAAGGAGACTCCACCACACTCCTTGGCAGCAAATTCCACTGTCGAACAGCTCTTACTGTCAGGAAGTTCTTCCTAATGTTTAGGTGGAATCTTCTTTCTTGTAGTTTGGATCCATTGCTCCGTGTCCGCTTCTCTGGAGCAGCAGAAAACAGCCTTTCTCCCTCCTCTATGTGACATCCTTTTATATATTTGAACATGGCTATCATATCACCCCTTAACCTCCTCTTCTCCAGGCTAAACATGCCCAGCTCCCTTAGCCGTTCCTCATAAGGCATCATTTCCAGGCCTTTGACCATTTTGGTTGCCCTCCTCTGGACACGTTCCAGTTTGTCAGTGTCCTTCTTGAACTGTGGTGCCCAGAACTGGACACAGTACTCCAGGTGAGGTCTGACCAGAGCAGAATACAGTGGCACTATTACTTCCCTTGATCTAGATGCTATACTCCTATTGATGAGGCCCAGAATTGCATTGGCTTTTTTAGCTGCCGCGTCACACTGTTGGCTCATGTCAAGTTTGTGGTCAACCAAGACTCCTAGATCCTTTTCACATGTACTGCTCTCAAGCCAGGTGTCACCCAGCGATGTTGTTTATGGTGAACATAAGATGCCCACCTGGAATCCTGTTTCCTGCCGTGGCCACCAGATGGCAGAAGTCCACAAGGGGGTTGTTGTTGTTTAGTCGTTTAGTCGTGTCCGACTCTTCGTGACCCCATGGACCAGAGCACGCCAGGCACTCCTGTCTTCCACTGCCTACCGCAGCTTGGTCAAACTCATGCTGGTAGCTTTGAGAACACTGTCCAACCATCTCGTCCTCTCTTGTCCCCTTCTCCTTGTGCCCTCAAACTTTCCCAACATCAGGGTCTTTTCCAGGGAGTCTTCTCTTCTCATGAGGTGGCCATGAGCCTCAGCTTCAGGATCTGTCCTTCCAGTGAGCAAGTGGGACATGAGGCAATTAGATCAGACACTGAGCGATAGCTCCTTCCTCTGTCTTTCAGCCAGCCAGCTAGCCAATCCTTCTTTAAGAATACTCCATTCCGTTCGCCTGCAGGATCAGACAATTGGTCCATCTGTGCTAGATGGTTTCTTTCCAGGATCTCAGGAAGCAAGAGGATTTTCCCATCAACTGCAACCTGCAGGTGTCGTCCCCCCAACAGTACTCACCAACACAGAGTGCCAGCACCTCTTTCTTTATTTCCAGAGCAACCATGTTGTGCCCCCCACCCTCTTATTAATATATGAGTACTGGCACCTCTTTTTTTACACACACCCCCAAAAGCACTGGCCACCTGAGATCCTTTTCTCCAGTGTGGTATATTGCGCACTGTTGGTAACATAAATTATATTTCCCTAGTAAATTTCTGCCCAGAAGAGCAAGCACCCTTTTTGACTTTAAATCAAAGCAGGGCAGGCTGTTGCAGAGGAAATTAATTCAGCACACAGTTGGTGGATAGGAAGTTTCAATTGTATTTTCACTGCATTGTGTTTAATTATATTTTTATGATTATATTTAATGTATTGTTTATGTAATCCAGCCACACTACAAATGTGGAATAATGAGATATAAACATTATTTACTTGCTGAAGCAATGATTGATACTCAGCATGTATGGGATGGGGGGGGATGATGCTTAGTGTGAGAACAGGTGTGCCACAAATATACAACAGTATCCTTATTTTCATCTTGTCCCTTATGCACGTGCTGCTTGCATACTGGCCAAAGCACTAAAAAAGATAAAGGTAAAGGACCCCTGATGGTTAAAAGGCGACTATGGAGTGCAGTGCTCATCTCGTTTTTCAGGCCGAGGGAGCTGACAGCTTTCCAGGCTGCAGACAGCTTTCCAGGTCATGAGGCCAGCATGACTAAACCGCTTCTAGTGCAACGGAACACTGTGATGAATGCCAGAGTGCACAGAAACGCCGTTTACCTTCCCGCCGCAGCGGCACCTATTTATTTACTTACACTAGTGTGCTTTCGAACTGCTAGGTTGGCAGAAGCTGGGACAGAGCAACGGGAGCTTACCCTGTCGCGGGGATTCGAACCGCTGACCTTCCGGTTGGCAAGCCCAAGAGACTCGGTGGTTTAGACCACAGCAC